CGAGGAGGAGGAGGAGGAGGAGGAGGAGAACGGGGGATGTGGAGAATCAGTATTTTTCCTCCTCATCCACCTCGGTGAGGGGTCGGGGGGCTAACATGGAATCGGCGAACGGAGTGGCCGTGCTTGACGCGGGTGTTCTCGTTGATGTAATATCCGAGGAACTGGAGCGTCTCTATCATCACGCCGTTCGCCTTCCCTGCCTCTTCCTCTCTGTCGGTGGCGGGCAGAGCTCCGCGGCGCAACTCCATGCAACGAGTGGGAACTGATAAAACCTCGGAGTGCTCTCTGGAAGCCGCCTGGACAGCTTCAGAAACCTGCACACCTCCAAAAACCTTCGGATACATCCGTAGAACTCTAGAAAGCTCACTGGAAACACCAAAACAACAGAGACTCACGCAATCCCGAAATCTCCGAGAATCTCAAGTCTCCGAACCCCTCAAAGAGCATCTAGAAAACATCCGAGAAGCTCGGAAAACCTTGTCGAACCAAATTCCAAAAACCTCCAAGAGCAACCCGAAAACCTTTGGAACCTCCGAGAACCTTTGTGAACCTCTGGTGCCTCCAGAAACATTTCCAAGAAGCGGGCCAACCTGTGACAGGAGGATGAGGATAATAACGAGGAAAGGGAGCAGGGGCAGTACGGCCGGGAACTTTTGCTTAGCGTGTCGCCGCGGCGGCCCTGGCGACACGCTATGCCTTGCGAAAGGATAGCGTGTTGCTCCGCTTCTTGGGCTGGGGGTCTCGGAAAGGCTCGGCATTTTGACGCTTGGGGACCGGGAAGTGGATAATAGCGTGTCGCGCCGCAGCGTGGTGGGCCAGAACTGGCGGATCGACACGCTATCCGAAAGTTCGCGACCGTACAAGGGAGGAAAGGGAGGTGCGACTGGGGAAAAGGGAGGAGAGGATGGATACGGGTGACCTGGGACAGAGGAGCAGTAGCAGGCGAGAGGGAGGAACGACGAATGGAGGCAGTTGGGATGGGGGCGAGATCGGGGGGAGCAGCACATGCAGGCAGAAGGGAGGCGCTGCTGTCTTGCCCCCCAGAGGTCGGCATGGGGGCCGAGCAGTGCTCCCCAGCGCAGAGACCAAACATTGGCCAGTCTGGCTCCACGCTCGGCCGAGCGCGGAATCGCCCGCCGCACTGTCATCCCGTCACGCGCGGCTGCCCCTCCTCTCGCCCGTCGGATCGGCTTCCGTGCCTCTCCTCCTGCATGCTTGCGCAGTCTGGGCACAGAGGAGGAGTCTCGTCGCGTCCGATCGTCGGCGCAATGATGAGCCAACGGATGCAGCACGTGCACTACAAGAACACCGCGGGTGAGGACGCGCGAAGACACATGGTGCGGATGAGGCCCCGTGCTGGCCAAATTACACTCGTCCTTCCCTTGCTCCTCCTTCATTTTTCTCACAAGAACCGAAGTGAGACAGACTGTCGCGACCGGGGTAGGACGCTATGGCGATGACCGAAGCACGGTGACTAAGGGTACCGACCTCGACTGGCGCAGAAACTGAGGGTCCCTCACCGTGGCAAGCATTGAAGAACAAAGGAAGGGGGAGTAGCGCAGCGTTGGTCCGCACAGCTTTTGACTCAAGACGACGAATGACACATGCGGCCAGCGCAGACCAATAGCATACTGCAAACACTATGTACGAATTAACCCCCCGCAATGCCCTTCCGACCGTGTAGTTTTTGATCTGCTGGTAATAGCAAATGAAAGCCATTGGCACCTGTGCGGCCCAATCCACACCACTTGAGATCATCCTCTTTTGCTGCACGCGTGGTCTCTTCAATGCAGACGCCAGATCTGCTGAGGTGGCGGTACGCCTTCCGATATATCCATGGTAGGCTAATCCCCCTCAACCTACTGCCTCACCTTCTACTCTTCATCCTCGCCCGTGGAGCGCGTTCTGCCAACTCGAAATGCCAGACACCTGTGGTACAACATGCTCACCTCTCACATCTTCACACGAGCGCCTGCTGCTACTGCTGTCTCACAAACTCATGACGATTGGCACCGACATTCGGCTTGTAGTATCAAACAACGTGATACTGCCTGGGGATCGGTGCGGTTCCAATTGCAAGCATTTAGTTGCATTGTAGCCGTGCTCAATGATTTCACCCATCTCGTCGTTCGCTGCTGTTCGTGTCCGTTGCCGCGTGACTCCGTGCGTCCATCGTCGGTCGGAGGAAGTGGGTAGAAAGATGAATCAGGAAGGCGTTGGACGTAGATTGGGCTTCCGCCCGCCCTCTGAAGAGGAGGGAAGAGGGGAACCGCTCGACTCTTGAAGTGGGAAGGCGCCTAATGTAGACTCCAGAAATGCCTACTTCCAACGACCGACGGGTACCGGCACGAAGGGCACGGGTCCCGAGGGACACGGCTGCTGCATCCCAGGGCCTTTTCGCCCCGAGGCCCCGAGGAGCTTCTCGCCCCGAGCAGGTGCTTTGATGCCTTTTTGGGGGGCCCGAGGCCCATGCCAGGAGGGCCCGACGATGCCCAGAACGGCGAACAAACACCTCGGAACACCGTGTCCATGCTGGGGGGGGGGGGGGAACCTTGCGAGGGAACCGTGTGCCAATACCGTAACGAGAAGGGGGAGGGGTCACAACCCTCCCAGATGGGTCCTGTTGCCCAGACCCCCCTGGAACCCTCCAAGACAGCCCCGATCAGGCCCCCCCCCCAAATCAGACCCCCCCCCTCTGTGCTGTGGAATCTGGAACACCGATGCCGCCACTCCTCCTCCTCCTCCTCCTCCTCCTCCTCCTTCTCCTCCTCCTCCTCCTCCTCCTCCTCCTCCTCCTCCTCGGACTTCTCCAGGTATGCGCTGTCATGGCAAACTCCATTCAGACACCCCGGCCGTGGCGACGAGGGAGGGGCAGCGGTGTCGGTACCTCGACGTCGCCCGCCAGGGTGAGCGGCGCGAGGGGGGCGGACTTCGGAGCAGTCGGCGGGGCGTCTCTGAGAGGACAGGGGCTCATCTCAGACTTGCCGTCGCTCGGACACGCCCACTCCCCGCGCACCTGTCGGTGCCGTGCGTGTTTTCTTTGGTTCAGCTCGTGGGCCCGGGATGCCCCCCGAGGGGGCCTCGCCGGGGAAAGGCACGCACACGCCCGAGCGGTGCCAAGCAGAAGCCCGCCCGAGTCGGAGGCCTCCCGGAACACCCGCGCCTCCACCTCCTGGGAAGGCCGCCCCCCCCGCGCCAGCTCCCCTGGCGGGCGCCGCCGAGGAGTCGCCTCTCCCGTCTCTCGAGGGCGCCTTCCTCCTCCTCCTCCTCCTCCTCCTCCTCCTCCTCCTCCTCCTCCTCCTCCTCCTCCTCCCCGTTGCAGGCGGCCCGGGGGCCCGAACTCGGCGGCGAGCGGGGGGGGGGAAGGGAGAGGGAGAGGGCCTTCTCAGAAGGCGGCGGGACTTCTGAGAAGCCCTCCCCAGCATTCTGAGAAGCTTTCTGTGCCTTAGAGGGAGGCTTAGAAAACTGATCAGAAGGCCGGGGACTTTCGAGCCTTCCGAGAAGGTCCACCCCTTCTCACTGCCCCCCCCCCCCTCGCTCGCCGCCGATAAACCCGATGTGCCCTGAGAAAGTCGGTCAAGACGGGGGGAGAGGCCAAACTCGACTACACGCAAGAGTGAGCCCCGGCAAGAGTGACCTCTGGTGCGCGGCTTTCGGGGAGCCGCGGAGCGGCCAAACCCAAGCGCCAAACCCAAGCGCGCAAGACGCTACTATCGCATCGCGTTCGGCGTTCGGAAGGCCCCAATGGGCCCTCACTAGAGCTCACTCCAGTGTGAAGGGTCACACGTGCAGTCGACCAATCCATTCAAAATCTGTCCCCAGACCCTCCCTGGGTCCATCTAGGCCTGCGTGTCCCTCCAGATCCGTTTTCGACGGTTCGTGGCCTGAAAGCGGCCCCCCGAGGCCGAAGAAGGCAAGACGTATTCTTCAGAAGAGCCCAACCACACGCAGCTGCGAATCACGCAGGGTATGGCCATCTCCTCGTAGGTAGAGCGCAGCGCTGATGATGGGGCACGGGACACGCGGATGGGGGCTACGAAACTCGTGGGAGGTGTGCCGACATGGGCTGGGGAAGACGCATGCAATCGTCGTCGGTGGAGATCCTTATAGGGGTCACGAACCGTGTGAGAGGTGCGCCGTAGTGGTTGGGGGAGACGCATGCAAACAATTCCAGTGAGGCCTTAGACGGAGCTCCCTAGGGGGCCACGAAAAGGGTGAGAGGTCGCAGTGATGGGCGGGGGAGGCGTGTGTTAACGTCGCCACTAGGGCCTTAGGTGGAGCTCCTCATGGGGCCACAGACCGTGTGAGGGGTGTGCCGTAAGAGGGGAACCGACCGCATGCGAACATTGCTACTAGGGCCTTCGTGGATCTCCCTAGGGGGCCACGAAGCGTGTAAGGAATGTGCTGAAATGAGCGGGGAACCGCATGCGATCGCAGCCGCTGGAGCCTTCGGTGGAGCTCCCAATGAGGTTATCAAATGTGTGAGGTGTTTGCTGAAATGTGCGGGGAACCGCATGCGAACACAACCGCTGGGGCAACTGGTGGAGCTCCCTATGGGGCCAAGAACCGTGTGAGGGGTGTGCCGACATGGGCGGGGAACCGCATGCGAACGCAGCCGCTGGAGCCTTCGATGGAGCTCACTCTAGGGCCACGAAACGTGAGGAGGGTGCCACAAAATTGGCGAGGAACCGCATGCGAACGCAACCATTGGGGCCTTCGGTGGAGCTCACGCTCACGAAACGTGTGAGAGATGTGCCGTGATGGGCGGGGAACCGCATGCGATTCCTGCCACTGGGGCCTTCGGTGGAGCTCAATAGGGGGCCAAGAACCGTGTGAGGGTTGTGACGAAATGGTCGTGCGAAGGGCAGAGGCAGGGATGGGGGGATGGAGGAGGAGGGAGGTGAGGTGAGTGACGCGGGGCGCTGTCTCTTCAAAACGAGGGCCCAACACCACATGATGGTTGAGAACAAACTCCTCGAACCCAACACCTCTAACCTTGTCTCCCCACTTTGCCGGCCAGAACTACTGCTGGGCCACCTCAGACCTCCAGCGGACTCCAACCTGCAGGACCCCTTCCTCCCTCAGAGGCGGCAGCACCTGTTGGCGGCGCGCATCAGGGGGGTAAGAGTGAGGGGGGAAAACTTCCTAGAAGGAAACTGCTTCTCAGAAGGCGCCAGCCCGGCATCTGTAAGGCCCGCGCCTTCTAAGAACCAGCCTCCTTCCAAGAAGCCTTCCCCCCCTCCCCCTACCCCCCGTTGTGCGCGTGGTTGAGAGGCGGCAACCCCTGCTCCTTGGCGAGCGCTGCCCTGCAAGGCGCTGCAGGCGCCTCGGGCACAGAGCGTCAATGCTCCGCCCCCCGTGTGGGGGGGGGGCAACGACAGGGGGGGACTGGCATAGAGGGGGATGCATCGACCTGGAATCGGCGATACATCGCCGATAGATCCGCGATAGGCCCCCGCCAGTGAATCCGCACCTTCCTGGGCAGGTTGGGGCTATCGAGCCCCGGCGATCAATGGGCGATTGGGGGTCGACCCATGTATCCAGGACGCCCCTGGACCCGTCCCAGACAAAGGCCCGTGGCCGTTGCAGTGCATCCAAGATCGCAAATGACAAGCTGAACACAGCTTCCGCATGGTACGGTACGTCGACACAATGATGCACCACCTGGCGCGGATAGTAACGCGCATCGTCGTTGTATCTGGCGTTCGGTTTCCACCCCCTATGGCTATCCCCCCCCTAACGTTGCCCCTGAGCCGCGCCTCGGCGCAGGCTGCCGCGGCTCACCCGGCGCCGGCGCGAGACACGGCGGCTCGCCTCCGCTCCTGGGGGACCGTCGAGGATTGGCGAAACTCGGTGGCTCCGACGGGTGTGGCTTGCACGGGGTGTGCTTTGCAATGCGCCCCCTGGGGGGTTGGGCGAGGACCTCGGCAGAATTCTCCGCCGCGCCCCAAGGGGCCCGACGAGGTCAACGCGGTGCCCCCCCCCCAAACTCCAACGATGCAGATTCAAACCACACCCGGGCGTAGCCACACCCTATGTAGTCGCCGAAAAACACCCTTCATCAGATCGCCCTTAGGTGAAAGCTGCCACGGGAACCCCACGTGCACAGAACACCGCATTTCGAGCGGACTCCGGCGGGATGGCAACTCTCGACGTCCAACAACAAATGAACGCACCCTGCAAAGCACACGTCGACTGGCAAACCGGCTGGGGACTGCACTGGCACACTCGAGTGCCGATGCCGAGTAAATCGGTGCAGATTTCCAGCCGACTTCTCGGGGTAGGCGTTATCACACTGACCGAAATAAAAAGACGATCCCGCAACTCCCTGGACCTCTGCTGGGATACGTTCTGACCAAAACTTCACGGAGACCCTAGCCATGGTGACGAAGGCTCGCCAAGACGAGCAGCAGTATGCCAGAATGAACGGGCCGAACGGTCTTGCACCATCCCTGGGTGTGTGGGTGAAGCGGGATCCGGCACCTGCTTATTTATTGAACTCTCACTCTTGACGAAACATTATTGTTGAACCCCGCCACCAATGCAAATTATTTGTTCCCATAGATGTGCCCCCCTCGGTGCTCGCACCCGGTTTTTTTCGGCAGGGAAAATCTTTCTGCTCAAACTGTATTGACCCCCCGGGGGCTACAACAACAACGGCTCCCGCCTGATAGTTCCTCACGAACTATTCGAAAATCGCGCTCAGACATGGGACTTCCTAACAATGTATGCAGGGATCGCTCTCTCGCGTGGCACTTCCCCGCAATTTCATTCATACGCCGCGCCCTCGACACTCAGGAATCACGCTCTCGCTTTGGCCTTCCTCATGGTTTACCTGGGAACCGCGCTATCGCTCGAGACTTGCGAACGATTCATTTAGGACTCATGCTTCAGCAGCCCGCCTGCTCGACCTGGCCGCCTGGGCCCGCCTTCTGCCCGTCTGGTTCTACAACGTGTTTTCTGCTCCTTGCCCCCCCTGCAACTTTCTTTAATGTTTCGTCGTTCTCCCTCTCCCGTGCCCTTTTCTTCCATCCGTCCTCGCTTCCCCATGCTTCCCCTACCTTAGGAGCTGCACGAAAGAGGCGTCGCAGGTAAACAGATCTACCCCAAAGGCTGTGATATCGAAAACGAAGAGGGCGGGTACCGAGGATTTGGGATATACGTGTTGAGTGGCACGCGAACAGATAAGGGCGAACAGCCTAACACGGATTAGCGTTGCTGCTGTTACTACTGATGCTGCCGTAGTTGATGTTGTTGTTGATGTTGGTGTTGTTTCAGTTGTAATTGTTGTTGATGTTGTTGCTGTTGTCGTTGTTTTTCTTGTTGGGCTCTCTTCACTGAATCATACATATTGTTGATCCCCCCTCCCGTGACCATTCTGGGCTTACCCGGGGGCTCGTGCCCGGTCTCTTATCAAGGAACGTCACTCGGCTCAAACTGGGTTGTCGCCCCCTGGATTACAACAGCAATGGCTCCCGCCTTAGACCTCGTTATAATTTAGCCAGGGTCCCCGCTCCCGCGTGAGACTGCCTCGCATTTTACTCAGGAATCGCGCTCTCGGCGCTCTAGAGTCGCGCTCTCGCTAAAGATTCGCTTGCAAGTTACTCAAGAACCGTGCTCTTGCATTGGATTTCCCGCAATTTGATCAAGCACCGCGCTCCCGACACTCAGGCACCCAGGAGTCGCGTTCATACTTCGGACTCCCTCACAGCTTACTTAGGAATCGGGACCTCGCTGCCCTTCGTGGCCCCCTCGCTGCCCTTCGTGACCCCGTTGCAACCCTTCGTGGCCCCCTCATTGCCCTTCGTGGCCCTCGTTGCAGCCCTTCGTGGCCTCCTCGCTGCCCTTCGTAGCCCTTCGTGGCCCCCGTTGCTGCCTTTCGTGGCCCCGTTGCAGCCCTTCGTGGCCCCCGTTGCTGCCTTTCGTGGCCCCGTTGCAGCCCTTCGTGGCCCCCTCGCTGCCCTTCGTGGCCCCGTTGCACCCGTACCATCCTTGCCCTTCTGCGGCCCACTACACACATGCCCTTCGTAGCCCCCGCTCGTGCGCTCCCTTGGTGAACCATGCGCATACTCTTCGTGGCCCCGCTGTCGCCCTTTGTGGCCCCCATCGCTGCCCTACGTGGCCCGCTTGCTACCCTCAGTGGCCCCGTCATTGCCCTTCTGTGGCCCCGCATTATCTGCCCTTCGTGGCTCCCGCTCGTTCGCGCCCTTCGTGGCCCCATACGCATGCCGTTCGTGGCCCCGCTGTCGCCCTTCGTGGCCCCCTCGCTGCCCTTTGTGGACCCTTTGCGCCCCTGCGTGGCCCAGTTGCAGCCCGTCGTGACCCCCTCGCTGCCCTTCATGGCCCTGTAATTGCCCTTCGTGGCCCCCTCATTGCCCTTCGCGGCCCTCGTTGCAGCCCTCCGCGGCCTCCTCGCTGTCGTTCGTGCCCCCGTTGCAGCCCTTCGTGGTCCCCTCGCTGCCCTTCGTGGCCCCATATCTGTATGCCCTTCGTGGCCCTCGCGCGCTCGCGCCCGTCGTGGCCCCATATGCATGCCCTTCGTGGCCCCGCTGTCGCCCTTCGTGGCCCCATCGCTGCCCTTCGTGGCCCCGTTGCACCCCTGCGTGGCCCCCTCGCCCTTCGTGGCCCCGTTGCAGCCGCTCGTGGCCCCCTCGCTGCCCGTCATGGCCCCGTAATTGCCCTTCGTGGCCCCCTCGCTGCCCTTCGTGGCCCTGTTGCAGCCCTTCGTGGTCCCCTCGCTGCCCTTCGTGGCCCCTTCGTGGCCCCCGCTCGTTCGCGCCCGTCGTGGCCCCATCTGCAAGCCCTTCGTGGCCCCGCGGTCGCCCTTCGTGGCCCCCTCGCTGCCCTTCGTGGCCCCGTTGCTGCCCTCAGTGGCCCCCTCGCTGCCCTCCGCGGCCCAATATACGTATGCCCTTCGTGGCCCCGGCTCGTTCGCGCTCTTTGTGGCCCCATGCGCATTCCCTTCGTGGCCACACTGTCGGCCTTCGTGGCCCCCCTTGCTGTCCTACGTGTCCCAGTTGCTACCCTCAGTGACCCTGTCGTTGCCTTCTGTGGCCCCGCATTATCTACCCTTCGTGGCCCCCGCTCATTCGCGCCCTTTGTGGCCCCATACGCATGCCCTTCGTGGCCCCCCTGTCGCCCTTCGTGGCCCCCTTGCTGCCCTTCGTGGCCCTGCTGTCGTTCCCTCTCTCGCTCTCGCTTTCGTTTTCGCTCGTCGTCGTCGTCGGCGTTGTTATCGTCGTCGTCGTGGTCGGTTCCCTGTCCGTCCCTCTTGGGGTCGGGTTGCCGCCGATCAGCGCTGCCGCTGGCCAGGCCGACGGTCCACGTCCCGGTTTGCCGGGGACAGGCCTGCAGGGAAAAAAGGTATACCCCTCAAAATGGTGACGATCGAAGACGAAGAGGGCGGGTGTCAAGGTTTTGGGAAATACGCGCTAACGGACACTCGAGTAAATAAGAGCGAACAGTCTTAAAATGATTGTTGTTGTTGCTGTTGTTGAATACTCATTCCTAAATAATAATTATCGCTGGTCTGAAAGAGCGGCTCCGCGCGCTCTCGCCTCGACGCCGGCTGCAGTTTCTCTGAAAGCGAGGCTCCCGCTCAAGCGTTGGTTTGAGCCTAAATGTGGGCCCTTGGAGGCCCAGCTGCGACGACAACAGTTTCCGCTCGATGCTTCCTCACAATTTACCCCGAGACACCCTGGCCAGAGAGGCCCCCGAACTCAGGAACGGCGCTGTCGTTCGAGAGTTCCTCGCAATTCAAATAAGTTGGCGGAGGCCCAGCCACGACGACAATGGCTCCTGATCGATACTTCCTTACGGTTTACTCCGAGAGCCCCTGGCCAAGAAGGCCCCCGAACTCAGGAACGGCGCTCTCGCTCGAGACGTTCTCGAAGGCCTGGGCACGACGACAAGGGCTCCCGTTCGATATGTCTCCGTAGGTATCCCGAGAGTTCCTAGCCAGAGAGGCCCCGGAACTCAGGAACGGCGCTCTCGCTCGAGATTTTCTCGCACTTCGATCAGCGGGCGACAAGGAAAATATTACCCCCGAAAGGGGGTGCAATCGAAGACGAAGTGGGCGGGTATCGAAGGTTGGGGTATACGGAATGCAAGACACGCGTGCCAATAAGAGCGAACAGTCTTAAAATGATTATTGTTGTTGCCGTTGTTGCCTTTGTGTTTGTTTTGTTGTTTTTGTTGTTGTTGCATATTAATTTCTAAACAATTATTATTGTTGGACCCCTTAAAAGCGCCCTGGCGCTCTCGCCGAGGCGCCGGCTACATTTTCATTGAAAATGAGGCTCACGCTCGAACGGTCTGGGGGACCGCCAAAACCAGCCCCCCAACAACAACAACAACGCTCCCGCTCGAGACGTCCTCCTTTTTTACTCAGGGCTGGTGTTCTCGCTCGCCGCCGAAAGCCGCCGTCCTAACAAAACCAGCGCTCCCGCTCGACACTTCCTCCCGTTTTACCTTGGACTGGCGCGCTAGTCTTTCTCTCATCGGTGCCGCCCCCAGCAAAAACAACGCTCCCGCTCGAGGTTTCCTCTCTTTTTTGCTCAAGGCGGTGCTCCTCCTCGCCGCCGAAAACCGCCGCCCCGACAAAACCAGCGCTCCCGCCCGAGACTTCCTTCCGTTTACGCTGGACTGGCGCCCTACTCTCTTTTGAATTGGCGCCGCTCCCAACGAGAACAACGCTCCCGCTCGAGGCTTCCTCCCTTTTTCCTGAAGACGGTGCTGTCCCTCCCCGCCGACAACCCCCGTCCCGACAAAACCCACGGCTCCCGCTCGATGCTTCCTCCCTTCTTACTCAAGGCGGTCGTCCTCCTCGCCGCCGAAAGCCTCCGCCCAAACAAAACCAGCGTTCCCGCTCGAGACTTCGTTTTGTTTTACGCTGCACTAGCGCCCTACTCTCTTCAGCATTGGCGCCGCTCCCAGCAACAACAGCAGCCCTGCTCGAGACTTCCTCCCTTTCTGTTCAAGGCCAAGTCCTTGCCTCACCGCCGACAGCCCCCCATTCCCACCAAGGCAACCCTGTCGTTCGATACATCCTTGTGCTTTACCCTTCGCTTGGGTTCCACTGGCGGCCTCGCATCGGCGCAGCAAGGCACGGGCATGTGTTTTCGAGGCGGGAAATGTTGAAATGCCTCGAAGGAAGTGTTTGCAAGACCTCATTGGGCGGGAGATCTGGGAATGGGAATAACGGACCCCGCTATAGAACAAGAGTCCCCCATGATGTGTATGGTTATCATGATGGTCGCATGCTTCGTGTGAAAACATCGCGCGTGAAGGTAAAATGATTGTTGTTGTTGTTGTCGTCGTTGCTGTCGTCCTCGCCCACGACCCACCCTGCGACTCACCCCTCGCCCGGCCCCTCACTCTTCTCAGAACTTGCGAGGTGCGTCGCGTCGGTACCTCCCCTGGGCTCCTCCCAGCGGAGCAGCCGCTGCGAGGGCGCCGGGCTCCCGGGCGCGGGCGCGCACGGCTCCCGCGGCGCGCTGGCGGGCGGCTCAGCACCGCTGGGCGTGGAGCCCGCGGCGGTGCCGGATGCCGCGGAGGCCGCGGCGGAGGGGGGCGCCGAGGGCGGGCGTGAGGAGAAGGGCGTCGGCAACCGCGGGGCCGCCCACGGCGTCCTCGGGGGGGCCCCCGGCCAGCCGCTCGAGGTCCAGCCGCCCGGGTGGTAGGCGCTGCGGTGCTCTGGCTGGTGGCGGCGCACGCCGCGGTCCACGAAGCCGACTCGCCTGCGATCCTCGGGGGAATCGAACTGTGCCTCCAGCCCGACCAGGGCGCACCGATGCGGCTGCAGGGCCCCGCAGCGAGCGCAACGCTCACGCTCCGGCGCCTTGCCGCTTGTGGGGACGGGCCGCGGTTCCTTGGCGTGCAGGCTGGCCTGCCAGCGGAGATTGGCAGCGGCGTCGGCGCCGCCAGGACCCCGCTCTGGGGCCTCGCGCTGGCGGCAGCAGCCGCAGAGCTCAGCGGCAGCGCCTCGCGGGTGCGCGGAGGCCATGCGACCGCAGCCCACGCACTCGAAAGGCACCAGCGGCGTCGGGAGCCCTTCGGCAATCCAGCGCCGGTCGCCCTTCATCGCAAGCGCGGCGCTGGAGCGGCTGGGTGTCCGCTGCGGCGTCGCGCAGGCGAAATCGGCCTGGTAGTGGGGCTGCCCGAAGGTGATGGCGAATCTCTTGTGGCGGTTGGAGGCGGAGTCCGAGTCCCCCACGAGCCACGTCTGACGGGTCGGCTGCACCTTCGAGGGGCCCGCCATGGCGTCGCCAACCGCCGCGCGGCGCGGTCACACGCGCGGAGCGGCAGCAACGGCGACGCGACCCTACGGGAACCTTGAGCCCAGATGGATACAGATCGTGGGGACGGTCAAAAATAAAAGCAGAGGAGCCACCCCCTCGCAAGGGCCTGCCTTGAGGCGTATCGTGAGCACGCGCGCGCTGGGCGAGGTTCGGTCATGCTGGATACGTTGTCAATAAGAGCTGACGAACGCAAACCCAGATGGTCGCCGCATCCAAGCGTTGGAGGGAATGTCCTGGGCCCCCCAGCACCGTCGAACCCGATGAGACGCTGTCGCAGTGTCGCAGAGGTCACTCGCTATCTATCAACGCTTTGTAGCCATACCTTCCAACCCATTGTCTCGAATGCTGGCCCGCCTGCGCGCCAACCCGTCCAGAAGATTGACAACCATATGGAATCTCTGCTGCCCATCAGTTATGACTGACTGTGCAAATCACAACTCGACCAGAAATCAGGATGGAGATGGCGATGTGTAAGATAGGACGCATAACTACAACCCATACGCAACCACGAGGAGCAACCTGGACTGCGTGTTCCCTGTTTCCCGAGACCGGAAGTTCACATAACCACCGTCTGTGGAATCGATGCCCCAGGACCCCATGAGGCAACGGATATCTCGAACATTCGCGCTCTTCGCGCTCGCTCAGAGATCTAACTAGATTGGACGCCGAAGCCCAGCGCGGCTGAAGAAACGTGTCGTGCCAGTCCAGAAACGCAGGGTGTCGATGGAGCCTCAGGGTCCCCAGGGGGTCTTCGTAGAAGCTGCATGAACTCTCCCTCGGACGGCATGGGGCAACTTCAACCGAAACGTAGGAGATCCCAGAAGCCGCCAACAAACTGATGAATGCTTCAGGATGTGGGTCTGTCTTAAGGCCATTTTGGCTGGCCCCTGGGGCCCTCGCTGGGCTACCATGATCCGTCTTGGGAGCTTCTTGGTGCACCGTCTGGGGCTGTCCTGGGCCTATATAAGCACTTCATGGACCACGCTGAACCCACCTGGCTTCGAACCGCGAAGAGGAGTACGAAGAAGGGCACGAAACATGAACACACACACATAACAAAGGATGAGGAGGAATAGGATACATTGGAGAGCGGAGGACGAGGAGTAGGGAGAGGATACCTCGTTTTCGCATTTGCAGAAACGTCAGCGTAGACAATATACACGTAACAGTGTACACTCACGGCCATCATGCAACACAAACGAGGTAAACCACAACAATTCTACACTAGTTCGGTAATCGCGAGAACATATGTGTATATGACATGCCGAACTATGTGTATATAAACATATACAGAAAGGGAGGGAGAGAGAGCGAGAGAGAGAGAGAGATACCAACACACATAGAGATACACAAAGGCTGAGAGAGAGAGAGAGAGAGTCAGAGTGAGAGAGACCATGACCATCCCACCACGCCAAACATATGATGAGATCATCCCACCACGCCAAACATATGATGAGATCATGACCTCCACTGCTTCTCGGCTCTCTCACGGAAACCCTGGCCCTCGCGCACAAAAGGGCCAATGTTTCCCTGTCGGCCGCGTCGTGCGACGTCGGGAGGACGGGTCTCAAACGTCCAATTCTTCCCACCCCCCCTTCGTGGCCACCCGCTTCGGCCACTGGGGCCCTCTGGCTCCCTCGATGAAGGTCCAGCTGGTCGATAAACATTGACTCCAGCAATACAGTTAGCCCGTACAATAAGGCGTCGTCGTCGGTGTCGGCGTCGTCGTCGTCGTTCAGGGTCGGCGGCACTGGCTGCAAGGCCTCTCCAATAAGGACGCATGATAAGGATGCAAGAGGCTTGGAAGGCCATGCCAAAACTTTGCGAGCGGGACGCGGCCAGCGAACGCGGCCAAGGATGGGCCGAGGGGGAAGGAGGCAAGGGTAGCCTTGCAAAATTGCTCATCCTCACTATGCGGGTTGACTGTACTTCAGAGAGCATCTTGGCCGACCCGCTCTTTTGATCTGGGTGGATTCCCTCACTGCTGCGGCTCCACTGAAAGGGAGAACACGCCTTGTACCCTCTTGACAACAAAGTGGTGCGAAGGCCTCTGACCAAAAGCCGCACCTGCTGACCAGCCCGTCGACCGAGCCAGTGAGCCACGCCGAGGAGCCCCTTGAACGCCGTCGGATGCGCTGCCTGAGTTTCTCTTGGGACGCGAGTCTCAGTTCATCCTGGAGCGCCGCCAACTGCGCGAGGTCCGCACGGTCATCGTGCTACGAGAAGAAGCGCACAGCAAAAGACGCAGGGGCCTTTCCTGACCACGGCAAGCCTCGGGGTGGGCCGCGGCCACGCCGTGGGACCGCGTGGGCAGGCCGCCCTGCCCAACGTCGGAGGCGAGAGGGGCCACAGCCCGGGCATCGGACGCGGCGCCATGCCGATGATCCGTACCTTCCATGTGTGGGTACTCTCGCTCTCCCCCTCTGGCGTTTCAGCTAGGAAGTGATCCTGCCCGTCCTCGTCGCACATGCCGCCAACGAGTCTGCGTCGATGACAGGCAAGGTGTCGCCGCTGCTGTCGACAGACATCCCGCCAGCTGCAAGCAGCTGTAGCCCACAACCGAGGACCAGATCGCCTCGGGCAATGTTCGCGTTACGATGAACTGGGTGTCAGACTCGGCGTCGTCCACCGCCCTCCGCTCCGCTGCCTCCGACACATGCCTCATGGCATTAGCGCTTGCCATCAACTTACCATCAACTGGCAAGCCCTGGCGGCCTGACCCTCAGATGCCTCCGGCGCCTCACGGCCACAGACCCTGGCGGATCGAGACTAATGAGGGACAGTCGCGGGTCCCTCCTCCGCATCACTTCGATTGAAGCTCGCGCTCGTAATCTGGTCCTAGGCGTCGGGCTGCGCGGCCGCCCGCACGACAAGGGCGGCCTCCGGTCTGCGCGCTCCGCGCCGTTCTCGGCTGCGCGGAGCCGTCGCTCCCCGCCGCGCTGGGCGATGGCCTCGGCGACAGGCTGACGCCTCGCGGCCAGCCGCATCCCGCCAGCGCGGCTGCCGCACGCGGCGCACGACGGCGGATGGCGGCGCAGGGCCTGCCGCAGGGTGTTGGCTCACCGCGCAGCGCCGCCCCTCGCCCAGGGGGCGCCAACGCCAACCGCTCTGCACGGACTCGGTCGCCATGAGAGCCCGCTCGGGAGCCCCGCTCGCGGCGGCCGCGGCCGTCGGCTCCGCGCCCCGCGAGCCCGCTCAGGCGCGCGCAGGGCAGGTCGGCCTGCGCGCTCGAAAACCCCACACGCCGCCAAGCGCGGGCAGCTGCATGCCGAGCGCGCCGCGCGGCCGTGCAGCAGGCCGCAGCCATCAACCTCTGCCTCGGCACCGCGCGCCCGTGCTATCGCGAGCAGGGGCGAGCGGAATCGAAGGAAGGGCAGCGAATGGAGGGGGACGCGCATGGAGGGGGACGAGCGACGAGTACTTAGGAGGGAACTAGGGAGGATGGAGGATGAGGAACGGGAAGATGAAGGTGCCGGGGGCCGGGCGCCACGAAGAGGAGCACGAGGAAGAACGCGACGAGGATCATCAAGTTGTTCTCCTCGCGGCGCGCGGCGCCCGCGCGCGCACCGCGTGCGCACCGCGTGCGCACCCACCGCGCGCGACCCCTGGCGGCCCGCGATCTTGCGACAACGCGGACGCTCGGAAGCCACGGCCTCTTCGCCGGGGACTGGCCCCTCGCCCCGAGCCCCGCCTCCGGGACGGCGCCCCCGGCGCGCGCCCGGCGAGGGCCTCTCCGATATGCCCTGAATGCAGCGAAGGACTTCCTGCGGTGCTCATTCTAGCGGTGCGCACACGGGGGTAGGGGGAGGGGAGAAGACTTCTTGGAAGGAGACTGCTTCTCAGAAGGCGCCGGCCCCGCATCTATCTAGACGAGGCCCGCGCCCTCTAAGAAGCAGGGGTGCTTCTGGGAAGCCTTTCCCCCCTCCCCCTGAACCCCCCTCTGCGTGTGGCCGATCATGCACGGCGCGAGGGGGCGTGGGGGCTCCCGGGGCGGGCTGGGGGGGGAGTGCACCCGGGCCTCGTCTCCTCGGCGCCGTGGGCGCTCCTAATGCTGCCTGTTGTCAGAGGCGGCGGGGGCCGAGAGGTCGAGGCAGGGCGCGGGCGGCGGTGGGCGGTGGAGGGCGGAAGAGCCACCCGCACGGTAAGCACCCCGGGAGGCCCTTCTGTAGAGGCCTCCCACATGCTTCTTGTTGCTGCTGCTGCTGTTGCTGTTGCTGCTGTTGCTGTCGCTGTCGCTGTCGCTGTCGCTGTTGCTGTTGCTGTTGCTGTTGCTGTTGTTGCTGTTGTTGTGGCTGTGGTTGTGGTTTTCTTTGTCGTTGTCGTTGTCGTTGTCGTCGTGGTTGTGGTTGTGGTTGTGGTTGTGGATGTGGTTGTTGCTGTGGTTGTGGTTGTGGTTGTGGTTGTGGTTGCGGTTGTGGTTGTGGTTGTGGTTGTGGTTGTTGTTGTTGTTGTTGTTGTTGTTGTTGTTGTTGTTGTTGTTGTTGTGGTAGCGGTGGTGGCTGTTGTTGTTGCTGCTGCTGCTGCTGCTGCTTTTTCCTTCCTACCCAAGCTGCGAATGACCACAGCGGATGACCACAGCGCGAATGACCAGCAGTGCTGCCTCTCAGATTGCTACCGATGAACGCCTGGCCTCCCAGATGAGGTCCGAATAGATGGGGTCCGAGGATCGCGCCGCATCGTCGATGCATCACCGATGCATCGTCGGCGTCGAGGGTGCATCGGCGACGTAGGTGTGTAGAACATCGGGCTCCACACCAAGCTGGATCGCTGATGCATCGGCGATGTGGCGCGATCCTCCGACCCCACATACTCCGACCCAAATGCGGAGGGCTAGATTCAGTGAACCGGCCGGAGGCGGAATCCAACGCTGTTTTGGGGCATTTCTACATATTCCTTCGTTTGAGGCTTGACGGCTGCACCACAAGATGCGACAATGCTGCTGCAATGTCCACTGGAAAAATGCACAAACTGCCCTGATGATTAGCGCCGTGGCGCTATACACGGCGCCGGTTGGACGATGTAGCAGCAGTGTAGGCTGTCGCCGCGCGGCAAACTGCAGGCCAAAAGACGGACTCGAATGCGGCAAAGCTGTCTGGGAAACGCGCAGGGCAACCTAGTAAGCGCCGGTGGTGTGTGATT